TTATCATCATCTTTTTTATTATCATCATCTTTTTTATTATCATCATCTTTTTTATTATCATCATCTTTTTATTATCATCATCTTTTTTTATATCATCATCTTTTTTTATCATCATTTTTTTTATTATCATCATTTTTTTATTATCATCATCTTTTTTATTATCATTTTTTTATTATCATCATCTTTTTTTATTATCATCTTTTTTATTATCATCATCTTTTTTATTATCATCATCTTTTTTATTATTATCGTCTTTTTTATTATCATCATCTTTTTTATTATCATTGTTGTCATTATCTTATCTTTTTATCATATTTTTATTATCATCATCTTTTTATCATCATTTTATTATCATTTTTATTATCATTTTTATTATCATTTTATTATCATTTTTATTATAATTTTTATTATCATTTTATTATCATTTTTATTAACATTTTATTATAATTTTTATTATCATTTTATTATAATTTTTATTATCATTTTTATTATCATTTTATTATAATTTTTATTATCAATTTTATTATCATTTTATTATAATTTTATTATAATTTTATTATAATTTTATAAACAATTTATTATAATTTTTATTATCATTTTTTTATTATCATTTTATTATAATTTATATTATCAATTTCATTATCATTTTATTATAATTCTATTATAATTTTTATTAACATTTTATTATAATTTTTATTATAATTTTATTATAATTTTTATTATAATTTTTATTATCATTTTATTATAATTTATATTATCAATTTCATTATCATTTTATTATAATTCTATTATAATTTTTATTAACATTTTATTATAATTTTTATTATAATTTTATTAAATTTTATTATAATTTTATTATCATTTTATTATAATTTTTATTATCATTTTTATTATCATTTTATGATCATTTCTATTATCATTTATTATCATTTTATTATGATTTTATTATCAGTTTTATTATCCTTTTATTATAATTTTATTATAATTTTTATTAACATTTTATTATAATTTTTATTATCAATTTTATTATCATTTTATTATAATTTTATTATAATTTTTATTAACATTTTATTATAATTTTTATTATCATTTTTATTATCATTTTTATTATCATTATTATTATTGCTATCATTAACATTATTATCATTATTATCATTATCATTATTATCATTATTACCATTATCATCATTATTATTATTATCCTTATTATCCTTATTATCCTTATTATCATTATTATCATTATTATCTTTATTATCATTATTATCATTATTATCATTTTATCATTATTATCATTATTATCATTATTATCATTATTATCATTATTATCATTATTATCATTATTATCATTATTATCATTATTATCATTATTATCATTATTATCATTATTATCATTATTATCATTATTATCATTATTATCATTATTATCATTATTATCATTATTATCATTATTATCATTATTATCATTATTATCATTATTATCATTATTATCATTATTATCATTATTATCATTATTATCATTATCATTATTATCATTATTATCATTATTATCATTATTATCATTATTATCATTATTATCATTATTATCATTATTATCATTATTATCATTATTATCATTATTATCATTATTATCATTATTATCATTATTATCATTATTATCATTATTATCATTATTATCATTATCATTATTATCATTATTATCATTATTATCATTATCATCATTATCATTATTATCATCATTATCATTATTATCATTATTGTCATTACTATCATTATTATCATTATCATTATCATTATTATCATTATCATTATTACCATTATTACCATTATCATTATCATCATTATTATCATTATCATTATTATTATCATTATCATTATTATCATTATCATTATTATCATTATTATCATTATTATCATTATTATCATTATTATCATTATTATCATTATTATCATTATTATCATTATCATTTTATCATTATCATTATTATCATTATCATTATTATCATTACCATTATTATCATTATCATTATTATCATTATCATTATTATCATTATCATTATTATTATTATCATTATTATCATTATCATCATTATTATCATTATCATTATTATCATTATCATATTATCATTATCATTATTATCATTATCATTATTATCATTATTATCATTATTATTATCATTATTGTCATTATTATCATTATTATCATTATTATCATTACCATTATTAACATTATTACCATTATTATCATTATCATCATTATTATCATTATCATTATTATTATCATTATCATTATTATCATTATCATTATTATCATTATCATTATTATCATTATTACCATTATCATTATTATCATTATTACCATTATCATTATTATAATTATCATTATTATAATTTTCATTATTATAATTTTCATTATTATAATTTTCATTATTATAATTTTCATTATTATAATTTTTCATTATTATAATTTTCATTATTATAATTTTCATTATTATAATTTTCATTATTATAATTTTCATTATTATAATTTTCATTATTATAATTTCATTATTATAATTTTCATTATTATAATTTTCATTATTATAATTTTCATTATTATAATTTTCATTATTATAATTTTTCATTATTATAATTTTCATTATTATAATTTTCATTATTATAATTTTTCATTATAATTTTCATTATTATAATTTTCATTATTATATTTTCATTATTATAATTTTTCATTATTATAATTTTCATTATTATAATTTTCATTATTATAATTTTCATTATTATAATTTTCATTATTATAATCTTCATTATTATAATTTTCATAATTATAATTTTCATAATTATTACCATTATAATCTTTAATATTGTTGCTGTTATCATTATATTCATTATTATTGTTAAAATTATCAATATCATTTCCATCATCATTATCGTTACTAAAATTAACAACAAACGTATATTCGATCCCTTTAGTCACTGGCGTTCCGAGCGGGTGAGGGAATTCCCCGCGCCTCTTCTGCCAAGCCCCAGTTCCTTGAGCGAGACGTACATAATCCGCCCCCGCTCCGCCAACCTCACATTGACTGAGTAAACCATTCGCCTAACATGTTCTCAGTGAAAAGGTCAAACTGAGGTGGTCCGATCATTCTTCCTTCTTCGCTAAGGGTCTGGCGCCGTTTTTGGAGGAGGAGGCCTTCCATGACGTCTGCATCGCCTGCTGTGACGGGACCACCCTCGGGGCCAATCGCCTTGTCCTCTCCATCTGCAGTCAGTTCTTCAGGCAGACTCTCACCCTGTGTAAAGAAATGCGTCCCACGATCTTGCTGCCTGATACGAGTGCGGAGGACATGATGGCTTTGCTAGAATTCATGTACAGAGGAGAAGCTTACGTCACGGAGGAGCGCGTCCCATACCTTCTGATGGCGGCGAGGAAGTTACAGATCAATGGCCTCGGGTTGCATCTCCTCCTCAAACCAGCATTCCAGTAGAACCCGAAATGACACCTCAGCTAGTTGCCAGTGATCTCACAGATGGCGAAAGACATTCGATGTTGTCGACTCCAACCAGCACCCAGTTTATGTTCGACTCCTGGCCTTCCGTCTCCCCAGCAAACTCACTCACCGACGCCAGTTTCTACAAGATCTAGATCAGTAAAATCGTCTAGCCAAGACAGGGTGGAATGTGAGACGTGTCACAGGCTGATATTCTCCACCAGTATGTACCAACACAAGCGTTATCACCACGGCCCACTTCGGGACCCTGCGAGCTGCTGTGGACAGACGTTCATCACTCGCTGGGATCTGAACGTGCATCGGAAGACCTCTCCAAATCACAACGAAATGTTGCCCGAGCTATCAGCAGTCCTGAAGAACCTCTGGTCATGAATGAATCTGAATCCTAAGTAGTGTTTGTATGAATATAAGTTTGTTCCTGTAAGTAAACGTAAATGTGATATGCTAGTTTCATTGCTCATTTACCTTTCAGTATATTCGGTTTTTGCACCGTTTGTTTCATACAACCATTTTAAACCGATACTACGATTCTCCTTTGAATTGATATAGTAGCCATATTCTCATATTCTGTAGGGATTTTAACCAATTTTAATCCAGCAGGGTTCCATGAAATTTACTTTGGGATTGTCGATGCAATTTAGACATTTTGCAGCAGTTTTTTCATCATACCTGGCATTAGATACATAACCTTAAGACCAAGCAAGTAGGAGTAGGACTGTGTATATTAAGCTCTCTGCACCATAAAGTAAGTAATTTACATAAGAGCATTGCTTCTAAGTTTTCTTTCTTTAAAAGATTAAAGAATAGACGGTGATGAAATATCTCTCATGATAGAAAATTTAGTTAGAAAAATAGGGGAAAATGAAATGTCACACATGATACAAAACTATTTTCATTTACATGTAAAAAATAACATAATTATTTAGCATTCTGCCATGTCACTGAAAGATGATCCTTAAATAATTATATATATATCACAGATAATTTGTTCCTGGGATAGAATTAGTTCATCAAATCATTTTCCCTAAGTAATGGAACACATCAATATTTACATTTGAACAGTATGAATATGATCTTAATCGCAGGAGGCAGATCTGGTCAAGGTCTGGAGTTCCACACAAAGAATGCATGTAAAAATTGAAATGATTACAATTATAAGAATTTTGAATTTCTATACTAATTACCCAGTCTTACATATTTGATTCTGGAAAGTTTATACAACTTATATCTTCAGTAAACTAATAATTATAGTTCCTGTATCTAAAGAAAAGGCAAACATACAGAGGTCACTGGTGTTCTTTTGTCTTATGTACAAATACTGTGGCTAAAAAAAAGGAATCCACTGCAGTACCATCTTCAATTACAACAATTGTTCAACCTTTCACAAAAAAGGCTTATTTCACACATCTCTTTGAAATACACAGACATATCCCTATCTTCAAAACAATCTGATATGAAGTAAAGAAAACAAGGAGGGTTTAATCAATAACACTGATGAGAAACAGGGAAACAGAAAAAAAAAGAGAAGAGGCATTATCAAAAGCCCTCATCCGAGTCCTCGGCCAAAACCCTGTCATGACCAGGTACATCTTCTGGGTTGAATGTCGACTCAAAGCACCGTTGGAAGATGAATTTTTTCGCTCTCTTAGCCGGTGGTGTCCCAGGAATGTCCTCCTCTTCTCTCTCACCTTCGTCCCCATTCAAGTCGGGTAGGGAGTCATCTCGCATGGACATGTTTATGTGGGACGTGTTGCCATTTGTGGTGCTGGCCCTTGCAAGGCGCAGGGGAGAGGAGGGTAGGATGGGCTTATTCTCTAGGCTGCTCTGACTGCTTGTTTGGAGAGCTGATGAGTTATGGGCAGATGATAGGCTAGCTGTAATAAGGAAACATAGTATGAGTGACTTCAAGGGAAATTCAGTATCAAAGAGTGAGTGTGAGGAGAACAAACCCTCTAGAGATGAGAAAGGAGGCACAAATGGACACTCATAGATAAAATTAAAAAGAAGAATGTGTTCACATCACAAAGAAAACAAATATGATAAAGATTTTTAAAAATGAAAGACAACAAAAATGAGGGTAAAGAAATAATCTACTAAATCACAGCATTACTCACATTGGCAACAGTTGCTACATCATGAACATCATTTCTTATATATCATACAAAGCCTATCAATTCTGAAAGTAGTTTTATAAAACACCAACCTCTTTTCTCAAAAAGACGACTTGAAACCTCCCCAATTTGATCTGACCTCCGTAAAGTTGATTGTTCACTTCTCATGTTATCAAAGGTGGAATTTTGGCTTCTATTTGTGGAGATTTGTGAGCTTGAACGTATCCTAGGAACTGTCTTTGGAGTGTGGGTTGTTTGTGCAGTTTGCTTGCTTGTGCTTTGACTTCTAGAAATCTGTGAATCAGACTTTTCTGCCAGGGTGGCTAGGACAAACGTTCCTTCAAACATTGGTCTGTTGTCCACAGTGAGATGATAGGGCTGGAATGAAGGAGAAACATTTTTGAGGATGGAAGAAGGAAAGAATGACTCATCGATACAATAAGCGTACACCAGGTAAAAATGTACACATAAGTATAAGCCTATGTGTGAATGGTTGTGTATTATAAAACAACTATTTAAGTGCATAAGCAGGGTTGCATGTCAGCAGACTGCTTTATTAAATAAATCTGTCCTTTCACTGCATAGTTTTATATAAATACTAAAGTATATATATATATATATATATATATATATATATATATATATATATATATATATATATATATATATATACAATAAATAAAAACAAATAAATATACAAAACAAATAAGCAAATACATCTGTGTGACTAACCTCCCAGGATTTGAGAAGTGGCATGTAACAGGTAGATTAACCGGTTCGGCGAAGGTGAGAACGGCTCTGAACTCCTTCAGGCAGAAGGTTACCTCACCTTCACCTGTGATATTGTACCTGTCAAACTCACCAGCCTCAAGAGTAAGGACAGTGTGAATGGCCTTTGCAGGATCTGAAAGTAACATGATTTGTAACTGATTACTTGATAAAAGCTTCTAAACTTATCTGGCTACTACTTTCATCTTCCAAACAGAAGACCCTCAGAAATAATTTGGGGTGTATATTACTAGGTAATAATGAATACATATAATCTAATACAAGTAATGAAAAGAAAAAAATAAATTATCTTGATACATTCTCCAGCAATATATAGGTAATTTAGTATATCTATATGTAACAAGTGTTTATTTAAAAATGTTGTGGATTCATAAGTTATGTGTTTACTTAATCAATTTTGTGATTCTAGCTTTTTTATATGTGAACCTGAAAAATTAAATAGCAATCTTTAAGTCTCCAACTTACTGGCTAGAGAAAAGTTTATCCTTCTAAAATAAATTGATAATCAATCAACCAGAATTAAAGTTGATCTTTGTGGTATATATGAATCTATACAAGTTCTTTTCTGAATTGATATTTCAATAATATAGCTATGTAGAGTATATGCTAAATGCCTTGCAGAAATGTCAAATTCATGCACAACAAAAAACATTGCCCCAAACCCTTCCTAAACAATGTAAGGTAACACATCACAACAGTGTATACCTGGTTCATCTTCGACATAGTTCCTAATAATGATCTTCTCAGGTGAAACACAGAGTGTAACTTCATCCTGATTGAGCTGGAAATTCAGAACAGCATCACTTAATACTCGTGACTGGCTCTGGATGTAGTTTGGGCAAGACTCTCTGTCAAATACAGCCTGTGGAAGGGGGATCAGTATTTCAAAATTAATGAAATCCACAAAATCATAAATTCTAGTCACAGAACTTATCAAAAATCAAATTTACCAGAAAAAACAACAAATAAAAACAAGAAAAAATATTTGAAACCGAGAAGCCACACCTGAAGGGTCTCACACTCAATGAAAGAGAGATTGTAGGTTTTGTTGATTCCATGTCGGCAGTTGAGTTGGATTCCTAGCTTGTCCTCTTCACCATCCAAGGTAATTTTACATCGTTCAACAGTGCGCTCTAATGTAGCCAGTGACTTGAAGACATTTAAGCATGCCTGAAAGATGTCATGCTTACATATATATATGTCAACAACTATATGTTATCAACAAAAGATGAGATGTGATTTCTCATTGTAATAATATAACAGTTATCGATGTGGAATATAGCTCTTGATTAGGAAACTGAGTTTTAGACTGAAATATTAACCCAATGGTGGTATGATTTCTTATCATAAATCCAAACCGAAACACATGAGCTGTAAACAAAACAACAGAGAGAAACAAACAATTCACCACATAGCTTTCATCTTACACATGTTTACAGTCATACATTCGTAAACTCACCTGCAGACTCCCTTGACAATTATTACTTCATGCACTCTTTCCATTCACACTCACTTTGTCTAATAAAAAAAATTACCTTCATGGCAACTTTGCATTTGACCGTTTCCTCCCCAGCATCCTTTTCTTGGTTGAGAGATCCATCATCATATTGTGAGAAGAAGCCTGAGCTGAATGTGTACGATGCAAATGCCGAGCGAGAGGAATTGACAGTTCGAAAGGCAACACCTGCAACAATAACATGTATATAGTATTGGCAAGTATATCAAAGGTACACAAATTAAACTACTGCCAAAGGACATAGTGTTTAGCTATCAGTATTAGTTATATATATAGCTAAAATTTCCTGGCATAAAATCAAGCCCCATATGAATTACTGTCACATATTATGAATTCATCAATCACATGAAATTTTTTCAAAGGCCATGAGAATAGCCCAATTTCTCTTTCCATTCCTATCTGCTAATGGTACTACAGTTACATCCTTTTTATCACTCAAATACTTAGCAAGCTTAATCTAAATACACTTATAATGAACCCTCATATAAGATCCAGCCCATCAGAAGGAAAACAACAGGTACATTAATCCAAAGGCTGATTTGCCAATTCCTTCTAAATGGCATATGGATATCATTAACCATTTTAACTAATTGAAAGGTATTTGTTTATCAAAAGAATATAAGTCACAAAAATACACAGAGATTTACTGTAACAGCATATCTATTTACATTCTCATAATGAACTTATTTATAATAGTATTAAGTTATATAAAGAAACACTTTATTTTACATTACCCTTTGAACTTGGTTCTACATATAATTCTTCTCCAATCTTTGCTAGGGAATGAATTGCTCTTCCAAACACTGAAAAGAACAGAAAAATATCTTACATTTTGTAAATAGATTATGATCCACTTGAAAAAAAAAAAAAAAAAAAATGAAGACTTTATATGGTATTTATATACAAAATGTTAATCTACAAAAACAGACCCTTTGTTCATATTATGGATGAATTACAAAAATGATACATGTCTGAAGTGGATCTTGGATGCATTTATATATGATACTGTTACCCATGTATTCAGTTCATAAGGTAGTAAATATATGTCAGTGTATTGTTACAAATCCTATGATTTTAGAGTTGATGTAGTCCTGCGTGAAGGACCTGCATTTTTATTAGGTTTGTAAGGGTTCTATATTAATGTCATACTAATGAAATGTTACAAGCATAACCTCGATAAATAAGCAATTTAACTTGCTGATCTTACAGATGCATGTGTAAACAAATTGACATACACTTCTTAACATCAAAACCTAAAGTCATGACTCAGAGTTTTGGCTAGTTTTGAATGCTGAACTTCTATTGGTCAATAAAATAAAGAATAAGTGAATAAATAAAAATAGAAATGACAATATATCAATATATGAACAACAAATACATTTTTAGTTGCTTTAGTTTAGTTGCTCCATTAACGATGAAGAAAACAAAACACTCTACATGGTGGGATAATGGTTGGATTGGTTTCTTTTTTGATGATAAATTACCAAAGAGTTCTAACAAGTTTGAAATTACCAGTGTATGTGACTATAGCTGATGTCAATAAACCAGGAACGTGGGGAGCCTGTGGTCAAATGAGAGAGCCATGAGGTGTCCATGTAAGCCAGTCAGGTCTAGGCAGTGAGTCGCAAGAAGCGGTTACTGACGAGTGAGCAAGAACTAGGCTGTGGATCAGGTGTGCCTCAATCTGGCAAATATGTGGAGCTGCAGGTTGCTGGGTCATGATGCTAAAGGTACTCCCATTCCCATGTGTGAGCTAAGAGAACTAACAAAATACCATAACATATCACCCCAGTGTAACCAGTATAGTAGATGTGGTATGCATCTAATACTTGAACAGGTCTAAACCTCTTTATAGTTTTCGGAGTGGGTGTGAATTCCCACTGGTATGGCTGGGTGTTGGAGATGAAGTGGAGATCAATCGGCAGCCAGAGAGGCTCCCCTTTGGCGAAGGACTGGCTGTCAGTGTGTTGTTGCTGCTTGTCGTGGTACTTTTGGTGGATCGAGGATTGCTGATCTCAGTTTCGGATTCTGGGGCTTTAAAACTTTGAAGCTGTGTCAGCAAACTGGGAATGAGGGGAGCAGTGGTCCAATGAAAGAGCCACGAGGTGTCCGTGTGAGCTAGTAAGGTCTCAGTAGTGAGTCACGAGAAGCACCTGCTGGTGAGTGAGCAAGGACAAGGCTGCAGACCTGGTGTGATGCAACCTGGCAAGTATGCGGAGCTGCAGATTGCAGGGTTGTGCTGCTACATGACAATGGTTTACTGATTATCACAAAAGCATGAAGCACTGCAGCAGCACTGGATAAACTATTCAGCACAATGAGTACATACATAGGGCATCAAGAGAAAGAAACAGGGGGCACCACAGAATACTGACATCATGGCTGTAAGTAATTTTGGGGATTATTAGATACACAAAATAGGTGTAATGGCACATTCCAATAGTATCTAAACTGTATGAATCTGTTTTTCATATGTTCTTTATTGCCATTACATTTGATTACGTCAATGTCTGCATATTCCTGTTGTGGGGAAAATTTAGATAAAAAATAGACAAATATTTATCCATCACTGGCTTTGCTCCATCAAAGGCCAATGTGCCTCTATCCTATATACTCTCTCAAGATGGAGCTTTGCAACTTAGACTCAAATTAATAACAAGCTCTACTTTGCAGCGGTTTGTTAGTCCTTGTCAACATTCAGTGGTAAAGCAATGCTTAATAACGTGTTGCTATCATACTGCACTGTAGCCTGTGTTATCATCAATTAACTTATATAATGTATAATGATATATCTCTTGAAGTATTGGAAGTATCTACTGATAAAAAGAGAAAAGTCAACACTGTATTAAAATTATTGATGCAATACTGTAATTCTTTACAGTATGGACACACTTGCCTTAGACTAAGTCCCCACTTCTACATCAAAATTTTTATTCATCAATCTAAGTTGCCATGACTGTGTGTGCCCTTTGGGTACTGCCTAGGGGGAGGGTTGAGGGGGGGCACTGTTCCCCAACATCCCACGAGAAACCTCGTCTTCATCTCCGTATCCACGGCAAGATAGAGCTGAAACTCAGGAGCACCGAGTGGACTTCGGCCGAGAGCAGCGCTTTCTAGGATTTTTCCTTTTTTTGTGGCATTAACGTCCATGTTTGCAGATAATTTCTTGCATCGATGACTGCAATATTTTGTCCTTTACAAGAATATCATATTCAAATTGCTGTAACTCAGTACATCCATACTATAAATATTAACCAGCAATACAGATCTATCCTACATATTTGTCATACCTGGTCGACGTATCATCCATGCAAAAAAAAATTTATATAGTGGTCAAGGAATGTTCACTACCTAATATTTTCAAAGTATAAATTAAATCACATACCCATCCAGACTGCTACTCATAATTTTTTCCAAGTGCACTTTTCAGTTCAAAGAGTGCACAGGGTATTGTAAGTGTGTTCTTTTTATATACTTACTTTAGTTTACGAGCGCAATTTAATTTCAGTATCACTGAAGTTGAAATATTACATTTTTGAAGGTGAGACATGACTGTGAAGGAGCAATGACCACCGACTGTTTTTGTTGTTTGATATCCGAGGAGCACACGTTATTGCCAGAGGAGTGCACATGAGACAGAAAATTATCTTCCGAGACCAGTTTGTAAATGTAGCAGTCTGGACGCCCTTCAGCATATTGGTATAATCTATACTAAACAGTATATTCTGAAAGCTGCTACTGAATATCAACCTCTTGATTATCAAAAAATGTTTGCTGGTGCAGAACTTGTTTTCTGGAGGATATGTAGGCCTACATATAGCTATAAAATAAAAATAAATTATTTAGATCTTTGTGATATAGAGCTATTAATAAGGAATGCAAAAATACAAGTCTCTATAAAAAGAAAAAAAAGTAACTAGTGCATTTTTCTACTTATAAGACTGACAATAAAAATCACATTGTGATTTGTGTTGGGTAAACCAAAATACTGATATCAACAGTTTATTCACAATCCGTAAAATACATTTCTACCTTCCTTACCACACTGACATAATCCCAAAGACAATAATCCTTCACAAAACAATTAAAATCAAGTTTATAGTACGGCATTTTATGAGCTGGATATCCAGCTCATAAAATTTCTTTATTTGTATTACAAAGTAGTGGCAATGTTTCGCTATCTATGTACACAATAATGACTTTTAAATTACCCTTTATATTGATCCCTGGTATAACACACTTCATCGTCTATTTGTCGTATAGAACAACATAAAGGAAAATATTCTTGTAACTTGTAAACACAAGTTTGTCTTCAAAGTAGT